TCTGCCAATTGCATTTTGGTCGAAATATAACATGGTTTGATGATTCCAGCTTGTAACTTTTCTCGAACTATATGACAATCTATTTCAATGTGTTTCGTACGTTCGTGAAAAACTGGATTGGCTGCTATATGTAATGCTGATTGATTATCACAATATAATAATGCTGGTTCGGACAGTGGAACATTCAAGTCTTGAAGAATGTATCTTAACCAAGTTAACTCTAAACAAGTATTTGCCATAGCTCGATACTCGGCTTCTGCTGATGATCTGGACACATTAGTCTGCTTTTTAAACTTCCAAGAAATAATTGAATTTCCAAGGAAAATGCAGAATCCAGAAATAGACCGTCTGGAAGTTCGACAACCACCCCAGTCAGAATCGCAATATGCTTGTAATCTTAAATTGTTTTCAGATGGCAGTAGGAGTCCTTGACCAGGAGTGCCTTTGATGTACCTCAGAACTCGAAGAGCTGCCTCCCAATGTGGTTTTCTTGGTTCATGCATAAATTGGCTAAGCATACGAACTGAATAAGCTATGTCAGGCCTAGTGACAGTCAAATATATTAATCTGCCAATCAACCGTCTGTATTTACTTGGATCGTTCAATTTCTCTCCTTCAGTTAAAGAAAGTTTCAGATTTTGCTCCATAGGAAATTTGTCTGGACGTGCTCGTGTAAGGCCTGTGTCTTGAAGGATGTCTAGAGCATACTTCCTTTGAGACATAAAAATTTCTTTTCTAGACCGAGAAAATTCAATGCCTAGAAAATATTTCAAATTTCCTAAATCTTTGATAAGAAATTTCTGGAGTAAACTAGTCTTGAGATATTGCATTTCTTTGAGATCATTGCCTGTCAACAGAATATCATCAACATAGATTAGAACTGCAGTGAAAGAAGTACCTTTACTCTTGGTAAACAAAGAGTAGTCTGCTTTGGACTGAGTGTAGCCTGCATTTTGTATAGTTGTAGAAAATATGGAGAACCAATTGCGAGAAGCCTGTTTTAATCCATAAAGAGATTTATGGAGCCGACATACTGTATTCTCCCCCTGTCGGCGAAGACCTGGTGGTAAAGACATATAAACTTCCTCGTCTAGATTACCATGGAGAAAGGCATTTTGAACATCCAACTGATGGGTGAACCATTTTCGAGCAGCAGCAACAGTGAGTAAGCAACGAAGTGTAGTAAGTTTTGCTGTAGAGGAAAATGTTTCTGTGTAATCAATACCTTCAACCTGAGTGTATCCCTTTGCTACAAGTCGAGCTTTATAACGTTCAACAAAACCATCAGAGTTGTATTTAATTTTGTACACCCAGCGACAACCAATAGCTTTATGACCAGGTGGTAGAGGAACGAGAGACCATGTATGATTACGTTCCAAAGCTGCAATTTCATCATTCATAGCCTGCTGCCATAAAGGGTCGCCAACTGCCTCGTCATAGGTTTTAGGTTCTGTCTAGGATGTAATAAGAGCTAGAAAAGCACGTTGAGTAGGAGAAAAACGAGAGAATGAAAGGTAATGATGAAGGGGATACCTGGTGCCAGTGCCGGGACTTGAGCTAGAGGTTAAATGATTGGCTCCAGAAGACATCTCATAATCCTTATGCCAAGCTGGAGGCTGTTTAGTGCGAGTAGAACGTCGGAGTGGAGCTGATGTATCAGGCGGGATAGGATTGGAATCAGTGGGAAAATCTGGAGAAGGTGGAGGAGACGACGAAGTAGTAGGTGAAGGGATAGGAGGTGAAGGAGGAATGGAAGGTGGAGGATGGGAACATGGGTTTTAGTTAGAATTAATTGTAGTATGAGATGAGTGGAGTCTCTTTTAAAAAGTAGTAATAGAGAGTTGATATGCTTAGTCGAAGTTTGTGAAGCTGATGAAAAAGGAAAATCATCTTCACAAAATTTAACATCACGGCTGATAAAGAATTTGTGGGATTGCATGTCATACAATTTGTAACCTTTATGACCACAAGGATATCCTACGAAAACACAAGGAATTGCCCGAGGTTCAAATTTTTGCTTAGGATGTACTATAGTTGCATAACATTTACAACCAAAAACTTTAAGATGATGAAATGTAGGTGATCGTTTGTAGAGTGCTTCAAAGGGTGTCTTGTTAGATAACACTGGTGATGGCGTTCTATTTATAAGATAAACAGCCGTTAAAACGCACTCTCCCCAAAAATTAAGTGAAACCTGTGACTGAAAAAGAAGAGACCTAGCTACATTTAGGATATGGCGATGCTTACGTTCTACAACTCCATTTTGTTGTGGAGTATAGACACAAGTGCGCTGAAATTCAATACCACAAGAAGTAAAGAATGGTTGCAAAGATAGGAACTCAGTCCCATTGTCTGATCGAACTATCTTGATAGTAGTATGAAATTGAGTTTGAACAAATTTAACAAAGTTCATTAACAAATGATGTACTTCTGACTTATGTTGCATTAGAAAAACCCAAGTACATCGAGTAAAATCATCAACAATAGTGAGAAAAAAACGCAAACCAGAATGGGTAGGAATTTTATGTGGTCCCCAAACATCACAATGTATCAGATCAAAGGCAGAATGGGTTGTTATTCAACTTCTTGGGAAAGACAACCTAGTTTGTTTTGCTAACGGGCAGATACTACAATTATGAGAATAACTCGCATTATTAAGATGCAATTGATCAGCTAGAAATTTAAAACGAGAAAAAGAAGGATGACCTAGACGTAAATGTCACAAATCAGATGACTGAGATACTTGATGAGCTGAAGATTTGATTGGAGATGAAGAAATATGATAGAGACCTCCAAATTGTTTACCCGAGCCAATCATCTTCCCCGTAGCCAAGTCCTGCATAACACAAGAATCAAGATAGAAGGTGACATAACATTTCAAGTTATTGGTAAGTTTGCTGATCGACATTAGGTTTAAATTGAATGAAGGCACACATAAAACGTTGTTTAACTTAAGGTTAGGGCTAAGGGAAATATTGCCAGTATGTGACACACGTGCTGTCTCTCCATTAGGCAAATTTATTGTAGACATGATGGCAGCCTTTGGATCAGTCATAACAGAAGATTTTGATACTATATGATCCGTAGCTCCACTATCGAGAATCCATGAATTAGAACTCACAGAGTTAACAGATAATGTAGATATGGGAAACAAACCTGCAACATTGATGTGATTGTCAGAATTACCAGAAGGGTTTTGATTGATTGCAGATAAGGCTTGTGCTATCTGTCGTAATTGCTCAGAAGAAAAATTTGGAATGGAATTAGGTGACTGTTCTCCTGTATTCAACTGTGAAACATCGGCCATATTTGCAGATGATCGGTATCCACGATGATTGTGTTGATTGACTTGTCTTGTTCTTGTAGAATTATTTTTCTGTCGACACCGATCTTCTGTATGTCCCCTTTTATCACAAAACTTACAATGAAACTTAAGAATTCGACACTCATTGATTGGATGACCACTTTTATTGCAGTGTTCACATGATTTGTCCTTGGCGAATTTTGAATATGTTGTTTTCTTCTGCACTGCTGATGCAATCGAGAAATTCTCAGCAGGTTCAGAAGTTACCTGTCGCTGCATCTCTTCTTGTACAAGTAATGAATAAGCTTGCCTCACATTAGGTAATGGAGACGTCATCAATATGTTAGATCTCACCGTTTTATAAGACTCGTTGAGCCCCATGAGCAATTGCATCAACTTGTCTTCTTCGCGTTGATCAATATGTATTTGACGTTGATTACACGTAAATGGTGTGCGGTACGCTTCCAGTTCATCCCAGAGTGCTTTGAGCTTGGTGAAATATGTTGACTGTGCCATGGTTCCTTGTGACATAGTTGCTATCGAGTTTTGTATTTGAAAAATTGCTGGAGCATTCTTTTGTGAGAATTGATCGCGAAGATCAACCCACACTTGATGAGCTGTCTTGGCGTGAATAATGCTTTTAGCGATATCTGCTTCAACAGAATGAGTTAACCAAGATATTATCATACTGTTGCACTGATTCCAGAGTTTCGAATTCGGTTGAATTTGCATCTTGGGGCGGTTCCTCAATTGTGCCATCAATGAAGTCAATTTTCTTTTTGGCAATAAGAGCATGCATAACTGATTTACTCCAAGATTGGTAATTTGCTCCATTTAATTTGATTGGAACAAGTGAATATCCTGGCTGATCAGAGTGATGCATATAGTAAGGATGTGTTAAATCAACATCCGAAATTTTAAAGCTGGATTTGGCTGAGCCCGCCATAAAGGAAACTTTGATATTTACGATCAATGCTCTGATACCATGGGTTAAGAAATAGAAATAGAAAATAGAACTGGAAAAGTGTATGGTTTAAATAGATACAAACTATTAACTAATACCTAAAAATAGAAAAAAATAATATATCTAACTAAATCTTGTAAATAAATAAAATATACGATTAATCAAATTTATACTAACAACTCCCTAAATATCTCAGATATATTCTAACTAATATATCTCCAAAATATCCTCTCAATATTTAATAATCCAATAATAAAAGTTTATTCGAAATTTGAAACTAGGGTTTATTTGACTCATAAGTCTATTTAAAAAAAAATTATTTAATAAACGGTTAAAAGCTCAAATGATTTTATACTATCTCAATATGGTTGTTTTTTTAATAACGGTTCTAGATAGATTAAAAAATTCTTATGCCTCTCAATAATTACGAGATACAAATTTGAAATGTATATATTGACCAAGAACCATTTTTCTGTTGTATTATTTTTGTGAGTTCAGTCGATGAACGAGTTCTTGCTGTGGGAGAGGAAAAGCGATGACATGGAAAATTCTTGAATATCGAGAGAACATTGATCAACATTCAAGAAAAGATCGAGGAGAGCAAGCTCTCCCTTTGTTGAGCTCTGTCATCTCGCTCTTCGAGATCTTGAGGGCTTCTAATCCTTTCATCATGATGCATGAAAGAATTGAGAAAGCCAACAAAAAGATTCGAATCAAGATTTCTAAGGGTGCCAATATTTATACCACAAAGTTTAGTAACTAGTATAAATGAAAGTTGACTGTTTCTTACTGATTCAACATTTGAGTTGCCTTCCCAAGAAGCTGCATCTGGATGGTGGAATCAATGTTGCTACACCATTCCTACCAAATACTTTATGTTACAACAGTAAATATGCAAGAACAATAATCTAGTTTTTATTTGAGGATACAGAAGAAGGTAAAAAAAGTACCAAAGAAAATTCAACTAAATAGTTTTCTTGAATCATAAAAACAAAAGATAAAGACCACAAATATTTAAACCGACAAGAATAAATTTTTAAAATGTTTGTAGAGAAAACTCACATAAAAAGTCACAAGCAGAAGCATATATATCACAAGGAATCAAAACACTAAACGAGACCGTACCAAGCAAAAACATCACAAATATTTAATATCAATATACAAATATCAATACAAACCACAATAAATTAATAAAATAAAGAAAAAGAAAATATGAAACTCCACTAAAGATTATAGATTAAAGAAACATGCAAAATTCACAAAACCACATCATGCAAAAAGGCAAACAATACTTCAAAAATAATACTAAACAAATATGTACGGAGCAGATGCATAATCAAAATATGCAAACAAACAATCACATATTTAGAATCAATATACAAATTGAACAAACTCCAATTGAAAAGCATCCCACCATCTTCCACTCATACAAGTGGAGATACCGTAGGGAGAAGATTAAACAAAATTATACCATCACTTAAAAAAAGGAAAAATGAAAGAGTAGTAAGTGTTTGAAAAAATCTCACACAACAAGATTATTGCCTTGTCTTCCTTTAATATTGTACAAACAAGCCGTAAGTGCTAAAAGATAGAGATATGAGATACTGTCCTATATTATCAATATATACCACAAAGCTTAGTAAATAGTATAACTGAAATTTGACGGTTTCTTATTGATGCAACATTTGAGTTGCCTTCCAAAGAAGCTACATCATTTAGATGAATCAATGTATCACTACACCATTCCTACAAATTACTTTCTGCTACCGAAACAAATACGCAAGAACAATAATCTAGTTTTCATTTGAGGATACATACAAAAAAAATAAATAAATAACTCACATACTCAACGGAACCATACCAAGTAAGAACATCTCAAGTGATCAAAATTGAAACAAACCATCACAAAGATTTAGAATTAATATACAAATATAAAACAAATCATAGTAAATAAATAAAAAAAGAATAGAAAACTATTGAATTAATGAAATTCCACTGAGATTACCGATTAAAGAACTTACAAGACAACATAAGACATGCACGAAAAAATAGAAATAAAAATTACACTTCAAAATCAATATAATATGAGACATATCAAACAAAGGCATAGAAAGAAAAAGGAAGAAAAATATAACAAATAACTCACAAACTACGGTCACAAGTGGAAAAATATGATTGACAAAGCAAATAATATGCATAGAAAGAAAAGGCAAGAAAAACATAAATATAATGAATAACATAAACAAAAATAAAAACAAAATAAAAAAATAAAATATTTCAAATATCAAAGTAAACTATAATAAATAAAAATACAAATATGAAAGTAAACTATAATAAATTTATAAAACGACAAATAAATTATGAAAAAATGGGAAGAACAAGACAAATTAGCAATTAACGAAATTCACATACAATAAAAAAAACAAACCAAAATAAATTATAAAAAAAATAAACACCACAAATCAAAATCAAAGAACACACCAACAAAAGTAAAAAAAAAAAAAAAAAAAAGACATGTACAACACAAAAAGCAAAAAAACAACTAAACATATAAGATCGTATCATTCTGAGAGACTGAAATAAAATGAACAAACAAAACACCAGGGACAAGAGAAAGAAGAAAATCAAATAATTCAACCCCAATATTTCAAATATCAAAGTAAACTATAATAAATAAAAATACAAATATCAAAGTAAACTATAATAAATTTATAAAACGAAAGAAAAAATGGGAAGAACAAGACAAATTAGCAATTAACGAAATTCACATACAATAAAAAAAAAAAAC